GGGCAGAGGATACTACCCTGAGGAACTCCTGCAGAGATGTCCTGGAGGTGAGATGATTGACCTCCAACAACCACGACCATCTTCCTATGTGTCAAGTATGACTCCAACCACAGGAGAGTTTGCCCCATTGATACCCATTGATTCCAGTTTTGCTAGGGAACCTTGATGCCACACTCAGTCAAATGCAGCCTTGACGTCCATGGCTGTCACTCTTCCCTCACCTCTGGAATTCAGCTCTTTTGTCCATGTTTGAACCAAGGCCGTAATGAAGGCAAGAGTTGAGTGGGCCTGGCGGAACCCAAACTGGGCATCACTGAGCAGGTTATTGCTGAGCAGGTACTGTTTGATAGCAATGTTGATAACACCTTCCATCACTTTACTGATGATTGAGAGTAAACTGATGGGGCGGTAATTGGCCGGGTTGGATTTGTCCTGTTTTTTATGTACAAGACATACCTGGGCAACTTTCCACATTGTCGGGTAGATACCAGTCTTGTAACTGTACTGGAAGTTCTGGAGTGCAAGTCTTCAGTACTATTGCTGGAATGTTGTCAGGGCCTGTAGCCTTTGCAGTATCCAGTGTTTCCAACCATTTCTTGATATCACGTGGAGTGAATCAAATTGGCTGAAGAGTGGTATCTATAATGCTGAGGACCACTGGAGGAGGCTGATATGGATCATTCACTCTGGCACTTCTGGCTGAAGATTGCTGCGAAAGCTTCAGCCTTATCTTTTGCATTGAGGATGAGGATATTTATGGAACCTCCTCCTCCAGTGAGTCATTTAATTGTCCATTACCATTCACAATGGGATGTGGCAGGACTGAAGAGCTTAGATCTGATCTGTTGGTTGTAGTATCACTTAGCTGTGTCTATCACTTGCTACTTATGCTGTTTGACATGCAAGTAGTCCTGTATGGTAGCTTCACTGGGTTGATATTTCATCTTCAGGTATGCCTGGTGCTACTCCTGGCATGCCCTCCTGCACTCTCGATTGAACCAGGATTGATCACCTGGCTTGATAGTGATGGTTGAGTGGGGGATATGCCAGGCCATGTTACAGATTGTGCTGGAGTACAATTCTGCTGCTGTTGACGGTCCACAGCGCCTCATGGATGCCCAGTCTCGAGTTGCTAGATCTGTGCGAAGTTTGTCCCACTTAACACGGTAAAAGTGCTACACAACATGATGGAAGTTATTCTCAATGTGAAGGCGGGACTATACAATGGTCACTCTTACCGATACTTTCATGGACAGATGCAACTGTAGCTGGCAGATCAGTAAGGATGAGGTCAGGTATGTTTTTCCCTCTTGTTGGCTTCCTCACCTCCTGCTGCAAACCCAGTCGAGGAGCTATGTCCTTTAGGACCCAACTAACTCGATCAGTAGTACTGCTGACAAGCCACTCTTGGTGGTGGACATTGAAATCCCGCACCCAGGGTACATTTTGTGCCTTTGCCATCCTCAGTGCTTCCTCCAAGTGTTGTTCAACATGGAGGGGTACCGACTCATCAGTTCATGGAGGACAATATGTGATAATCAGCGGGAGGTTTCCTTGTCCATGTTTAATCTGAAGCCATGAGACTTCAGGGGGTCTGGAGTCAATACTGAGGTCTCTCAGAGCAACTCCCTCCTGACTATATACCACTGTGCTGTCACCACTGCCAGGTCTGTCCTGACAGTGAGACAGGACATATCCAGTGATCGTGATGGTGGTGTCTGGGATTCTGTGAGTATGACTATGCTTAACTAGGCTGTGAGACAGCTTTCCCAATTTTGGCACTAGCCCCCAGATGTTAGTGAGGAGGACTTTGCAGGGTCAACAGGGCTGCCATTGCCTTTTCCGATGCCTAGTTCGATTCCAGGTGATCCATCCAGTTTCATTTCCTTAAGACTTCGTAGCGATTGATACAACTGAATGGCTTGCGAGGCCGTTTCAGAGGGCAATTGAAAATCAACAACAGTGCTATTGGTCTGGAGTCACATGTAGGCCAGACCAGGTCAGGATGGCAGATTTTCTTCCCTGAAGAACATTAGTGAACCAGATGAGTTTTTCTGACAATCAACAGTGATTTCAGTGATCAGTAGATTCTTAATTCCAGATTTTTTTTATTGAATTCAAATTCTGCCATCTGCCGTGGCAGGATTCGAACCTGGGTCCCCAGAACGTTAGTTGAGTTTCTGGATTAATAGTCTAGCAATAATACCACTCAGGCCATTGCCTACCTGTATCAGAGGCAGAGTTGGATGAACCTGACCTGGTGCTAAAACGCCTCAAGAGGAGACACAAAAAAAAAGAGCCAGCCTGTTTCCTCGAACTCAGGGGAGAAGGGATGTAGTGATTGTAATGAGATCAAGCAGGAGGACCTCATAGAAGGCCGACGTTTCGAAGGGTCTAGGCTCGAAACGTCAGCCTTCCTGCTCCTCTGATGCTGTTTGGCCTGCTGTGTTCAACCAGCTCTACACCTTGTTATCTCAGATTCTCCAGCATCTGCAGTTCCTACTATCTCTGGACCTCATAGAATATGAGTTCCTTGATTGGGGTTGTTAATCTGATTCAAGCAGGGAGCACTGGCTGACAGGTAGGGACAGGAGTGTCAGACATCCTGTTCACTTTCAGATCCAGCTCTAAGTGAACTGGATTAGTGTCAAGGACTCTTCATGTATAAATAAAGGGTGCATTGCTGACGGGATACTGGCCTCTGTGGAGTTATTTCATGGAGGAATGGTTCCATTGATACCTCAAAGAGGTATTGGAAGCAGCTGAGTCCAGTTACTCTGCAACCCTCAAAAATGAGACTAAGTACATACACAAGCGAAGTGGTGCCTTTAAGGGATGTGTCTCACCGGCAGGACAGACCTGGCAGAGGTGGTGGCACGGTGGTATATAGTCGGGAGGGAGTTCCCAGAATATAGTCGACTGCATTCGCTGCTCACAATATATTCTCCATTACATTGGGGAAACGAAGCGTAGACTGGGTGACTGCTTCACAGAACATCTACGTTTTGCTCGCAAGAAAGACCCTGAACTACCTGTTGCCTGCCACTTTAACGCACCACCCTCTTCACTGGCCATCATTTCTGTCTCTGGCTTGCTGCAGTGTTCCAGCGAACCTTAATGCAAACTGGAAGAACAACACCTCATTTTCCACCTGGGGACCCTGCAGCCCTCCGGACTCAATATCAAGTTCAATAATTTTAGGACCTAAACTCTCCCATGTCCCATGTCCCAGCCCCCTACCCCACACACCAGGCCTTGTTACCACATAGCCTGCCATCATACACCACCTGTTGTTAGTCACTAATAGTCCCCATTAGCAACTATTCACCCTTCCAGCCTGATCGTTAGCAACTCTTTGTCTATCCAACTGCTGTTCTCTCTCTTTAGGCTGTATCCTATTGTTTACTCCCTACCCATCCCCCTCACTTTTGCTGCATATAAACTGATGTTTTCCCAGCCATCATCAGTTCTGAGGAAGGGTCACTGGACCTGAAACGTTAACTCTGCTTTTTCCTTCACAAATGCTGCCAGACCTGCTGAGTGTTTCCAAAAACTTTGTTTTTGTTCCTGATTCACCGCATCTGCAGTTCTTTCGGTTTTTATTTTGCTAAAGTGTCAAAGTTTGCTGTCATTACTTTATTGAAACTCTCAGCAATTTTGAGTCTGCACATTCATGGAAAAATGCAGAAATTCAGAAGTAGTGATGTACTTTTGGACTCCCGCAAGACTTGCAACCATTGGGAAATCTTTGATCATAGAATCCTTACAGTGCAGATCGAGGTCATTTGGCCCATCGAGCCTGCACCAATCTTCTGTAGAGCATCCCACACTATCTCCATAATCCTGCATTTACCATGGCTAATTCACCTAGTCGGCACATCTTTGGGCTGTGTGAGGAAACTGGACCACCCAGAGGAAGCCCATGCCGACACCGGGAGAACGTGCAAACACCACACAGCCACCCAAGGCTGGTCTCGAACCTGAGTCCCTGGCCTGCTAACCACTGAGCCCCTTTGCTGCCACCTAACTGATGAGCATTTTCATTTTTATACTGTTAATCCAGGTTCTCGTAAAAGCCTTAATATTATCTACCAAAATCATAATTATTGTTAATCAGCATCACTGACCCAGAAAACTCCATACGTTTCTAACTTTGTTTAAAATCTATTTACCCTTATACTAACTTTGATCTTAATTCAGTGGTTCTCTAGCATTTTGTCTGTGGATTACTTGGAGCAAGCAAATGTCACTGCAGTCCTACACCCCTCCTCAATTTTGCTTGCTACCACCTATCAGAATTAATAGGGAGAATGACATCATTTTGACAAAACAATGCTGAGGTAATATCTGGTTCCAAGCTGGAGGACCTTCAACCTGATGTTAGATTCCACCCAAAGAATTATAAATCCAAAATTGAAATTGCATGTTGTAAAAGTAGCATAATTCTTGCTTATAAAATTACGTTTTTATTTCTCATGTTATGAGAATTCAGTTTGCTCTCATAGGAGCCAAATCTGATTGTGTAATATTGTGCAAGTACTGGGCATGACTGTTCTGGCCTGTTTGCTCACACGCCTCCATTCATGGCATCGCACATTAGTGACTTGGACCATCCCACAGATCACTTGGAGAACCACACTTTGAGAAGCATTGTCCTTATCCAATCATAATGATTTATATCTGTCTGATTGTTTTTATTTATAAGTAAAGCTATTCACGTTTTTATTTTCCATGTTTGGTGGGTGTAAATGTTCCAATGTGATTGGCTGCTTACACTGCTCTTTGACAATGGGAAAGGGAAAATATGCACCTCAGAGATTGCCTTCAAGTTCCAAAACACACTGTGGTATAATTCCCATTATCTCTGAGTCTGATTTTACCCAGCTGCTGTAGTTTTAAAATGCCAGCTCACTACACTGCTCACGAAAGTAGCTACCACTCTCCAATTAAAGAGCCCATGGTAGACAGAAACGACTACTTACTGTAACTAGAAGAGTCTGTGTAGTTAACAAGATACAGTTTATTGCATGTTAACAACTGGTTACAGATTATATTGACTTGCAAGATAGTGATTTTGGGGAGGACCAGATGTTAGGTCTTAGTCCTTAAAGATCCTAAGCTGTTCTGCCCACAAGTCAATTTGACATCGTCATAGTAAGTGCTCCTTAAGACAATCTTTAGTATTACCCCTTTCGGACCCATATACAACATTACACTCCAAGCTTTTTCTCTTATTATACATTGTTGTACAATCACCACTGCCCCATCTAACCCTAAACAGTAACTTCACAAATTTAGATGATCTGGTAGTTTCTCTGTTCTGCTGGAACTCATTCTCTTTGGACTTATAAGACTAGTAGTTTGCTTGATGGAAGAGCATTGACTTTTATTCTCTCTCTGACAGTCAGAGATCTGTAGTTTCCTTTGCATTTTCAGATTGTCCATTGGATTCACCCCCATTGATGAGTCATGGATGATAACCCAAAATGTTGGATAATAGACTGGTTTGAGACACATCTCGTTTCCCCTGGAAGGACACTGCTCCTGAGCCTGTAAATGAAGCAACTGATGGTTGGAAAGGGTAGATTAAAGCACAGGAAAAGGTCCATGGAAGTCAACAAAGTATTCTCCAGATCTGCATTCCAACATCATCCTTGCCTGTCCTCGAGTTATCTCAAGGGTTCTATACTAGTTGCCGAATGAAAGAATTTTTTTTGCCAACTTGAAGAACCTTTGGAGATCCTGGACTGACATGTTAGAGTGAAGAACTCCATAATGGATTTATTCTTCTGAGAATCTGCCATTGTACCTTCATTATTAACAATGTGCCCCAAGAACCATATAGCTTCCTTGGAAAATTGTCATTAAGTGCTTCTAAGCACTCTAGGACTGTATGCTCTTACCTGTTTTCCCATGATTCAGTGTGTCATCAGTTTGACATATGACTCTGTGAAGATCTCACTAAAATTTTTGACATAATCCATTGAAAAATCTCAAGGGCCATAACAGTCCCAAATGGTAATCTATTGAAGTAAAATGTCCGAAGTGGAGTTCCGAATGTAGGAAGTAACTTTGATTGCTTAATGACGCCTGCCAGAATCCACTATTTACATTGAGTTTCATGAAAACTCTACTTTTGAATAGCTTAGCTGGCCTATCATCAATCATAAACATTGCGGGGATTCTCTTGCCACTGCCTTGCTTAGGCAAATACAAATTTGAACTGTGTAGATAGGCTTGGGTACAGCAACCATGCTTGTCCATCACTGCTTTGATCTTGTGACTAAAGAAATGATATCCATTCTTATCCTTTCTGCAAGTTGTTTCCCGACTTGCTTCATTAAAGGATGCCATTTCTTCCTGGATATGTGGAGACATAAGAGTTAAGCATCTTTCTTCAGTGGAATACTTTATTCAATGTTCAGTGTCTCTAACCTTTTAAGTAAGTTAGGGTATTCTTGTTTTAAGAAAGCTTCTTTGATCATTTGAACAAGACTGAGATCAAGACAGGCAAAAGTGAGAATGCCTGATGGTGAAGTATATGTAGATGTTCCATTATTTGGCAGCCTTTAATAGAGATTTGCTTGTAATAAAACCTTTAACTTCAACTGTTATGCCTGGTGGACTATATAGCCAATTGTTATTGGCCGTAAGACAGTGTTTCACTAACCATGGCTCAGTGTTTGATGATGTCTAAAGTGAAATTCATGAGATGACTGTTTACAATAATTTTAGCTTGCCACAATGCAAGGTGTTGATCACCTATTTCCCCTTAATAATTTTTTTCTGCTGTTATAGATTGTTCTAGCTCAGCCTCTGTAGATTGCAAACTAATACCTTACTGTTCTGAAATACGACCTCCTTTTGCACATTTTCTCGAAGTAGCAGATAAAGAATTCACTTTTGATAGCTGGGCATTATATATGCCTCTGAGGTTTATTTGCTACACAGCTCTGACTTTGATGCCTGTCCTACTACTGTACTGATTTCTTATGTGTGTCCCTTGTGTTTTTGTACTTTAACAGTTGTATAAACATTGCTCATCCTCTGTGCCAATGTTGATCTTCTACTTTGAGGCTGATTTGTGTTTCTTCCAAATTTCTGCTTTACTTGGTATCTAAATTGTTCTCTCTAAAGTCAGATCTTCTTTGGATTAAACAATAAATCTGGTGAAGATTCAACAGTAAATCATACAACAGTTCTGTCTCTTAAGGATTCTGATTTTAAATCATCAAAGTTGCATTCTTCCATGTATCTAAAGAGATCATTAATGAAATTATCTGTGAATATCCTGGGTGTTGATCTCTTCTATTAAATTTTGTTCTTCCAAGCATATTATTAGTTCTGAAGTTGAAGTAATTGTAAATTGTAAAATTTCAAAACTACTTCAAAAGAATCTTTTACTTCTTATAACCTTTGGGGAGATATAATATCATCACCTGTACTCCCAAATATATATTGAAGTGTGTTTATTTGTTCAGCTTCTGATTTAATACCTAATTTGGAAGTTATTCTGTATCCCACAGAAATTGTTGTCTCAAATTTATCCAGTTCTGTGTTGTATTTGTCTTATCTCCAAGTTTACATCCTCCTGGTAATATTACCTCTGATGCTATGTCTTCCTAATGTGATTATATATTTTACCTGATTAAATGATTTTATTTTACCGTAATAGCAGTTTGATTGCTCTTTGCCGTACCAAAGGGTTTACCTGCATTCATCAGCTAAAATGGAAGTTTCTCATCCCTCAATAGTAAAATTGAGAATTCCTGCCTTTTTCACAGTTTCATTAAATAAACTGTGCTGTTCACAACTTTAATAAAGGAATCCTATTTTAATCATGGTTTTCCAGAATGAGTCCACTCCATGTAGTTTAAACAAAGGATACCTGCCATTTTTGTGCTCTTGTGAAGAACCTCTTTTGTTTTCCAAAGTCTGGATAAAGTCTCCTACACTTTCTGCAGTATCACCTGATCTGAGACTTGGATTATTTCATGGCCTTTTATTTCCATTTCTGTAGCTCTGCCTTGTGGTGTCCGCTATGTCAGCAATGGTGGAACTGAGCTGTAAGTAATTTCTTAAATTTTCGCTTTTCCAGGCTGGATCACTGTACCACTTTAAAGTTTCTCCTGGCCAGGAAAGACCAGGGATTTTAAGGTTTATTCATGGAATCATTAATATCTATTTGTTCACTGATGAACTCTGACTGGGACCACACTGACAGGTCACCATCTCGCATTGCAGCCTGTATTTGCTTTGGAGTTGCTCATTCTCCTTATACAGGGATTTGCTAACTCTCCTGTTTCCTCAAGCACATTTCTTCCAAGGTCTGAAATGCCTAGAATAGTAACAGCATTATTCTGCCTTGTTGAGGATTGTCACAAGGATTTCCTCTGTCGTGTTCTTAAATGCATCTGAGCTAGCAGCAAAAGTAGGCCATTCAGCCCATCAAGCCTTTTATGCCATTCAATAAGACAATAGCTGATCTGTTTTTGTTTGGAATTCTACATTCTCTACTTATCTACTCCCGATAATCCTTGTGTAACCAGAATCTATTTACCACTGCCTTAAAAATATTCAATGAACCTGCACCCTCTGCCCTCTGAGGTAGAATTCCAAAGATGCACAGCCTTCTGAGAAAAAGGAATTCTCATCTCTGCCCTAAAAGGACAGCCCCTAATTTTTAAACTGTGTTTCCTCCTCCCCCAAGCCCTACGGAGTCACCCCCAAGAAGAAACATGCTTTCCATGTTAATTTAATCAAGACCATTTGGGATCTTATATGTTTCAATCAAGCCACCCTTCACTCTTCTAAACCCTAGTGGAATCAAGCCCAGTCTCTCCAAAAATTCGTGCTATGACAACCTGCTTATTCCAAATGTCTTTCTAGTAACCTTCCTATGAGTTGCCTCCAATGCATTTACATCTTCCCTTAAATCTGGAGATCAAAACTGCACACATTATTCCAGATGTGGTCTCACCAATTCCCTGTTTAACTGAAGCATAACACTCTTTCTTCTTTGTTCCATTCCTCTTGCAGTAAAGGACAGCGTTCCATTAGTCGCCTTAATCATTCACTGTGCATGCACCCTCGCTTTTTGTGACCCCTGCGCTGGAGCACCTAGATGCCTCTTCGCCTCAGAATCCTGCAGCTGATCTCTGTTTAAGTAATTCTTTATTTGTTTATTGTTCTTGCCAAAGTGGAAAACTTTACATTTTTCCCACGTTTTAGTCCATTTTTGCTTACTCATGCAAACTATCTATATCTGCAACCTCCTTATGTTCCTTTCAAAATCTATTTGTAACACGCACAATTAATTTGCCAGAAAGCAGTCATTTGAGTTTGTGAACTTTGTGCATAAAATGTTAAAGTAAAAACTAGTGTTTGAGCATAATAAAAATTCTATCTGCTTATACCTCTGTGTTCTCCTGAAGTTCAGTTTACCATCCAAAAGCTTGGAAATCTTGTTGTAGGCATCCTGTCAAAAAGTGTGGGTCTTCACCACTTCAGTTCAACCTATTAAAACTGAAAGCACCATTTATATGCCTTTTCTCTAGTGTTTTGTGCTGCCTTTCTGTCTTCATTTTACCTCTGGGTAAATGCCAGCTCTGCTGAAAACATTTAAATTAGCCAGACTGCTAAAGGGTTTTTTGAGTCTTTTTTATTCATGTATCTCCACAACTTGAGCACAGTTCTATGCTCTTTGACCAATCATCCAAATGAAAGTGTGTGACTACTCATTTACTCCTGGTTAGGTGCAATATCTTAATTATTTATTTGTTTAAAAAAGACCCCAGAGTGTTCTTGGAGAGCCATGTGAATGTATAGCCAATGCATTTTGGTTTTACAAATGGTATACTGAGTTCCCAATCAAAGGTTTATCCATTCTGACGCTATCAGCAAACGCATTGCTCATAACCAGATAAGTAACTTTATTTTCATTGTTTTTATTTTAGTACTTAATATCCAATTACATTACTGCAAATGGCTTGTCAGAAATTGCCTTAAGGTTATATTGAAATTCTTAAAGCATAAATTAACAATCAAATTTGGTTCTGTATAACCCATGTACAAAAACAGAATTGGCAAAAAAATATGTTTTATGGCTAATGTGCTGAAGGAAACACCTTGTTGCTTTTTGTTGACTACAAATTATTTATAATTGAATACAATTTTTCCCCTGTATACTCAGCTCTTCATACTTAAGGATTAATATTCCTTTGATTTTTTTTTTATTTTCTTCTCTGAACAGTGAAGATAGATCTATCTCAGGACAGATGGATGCAAGGCTTAATGCAAATAGTACATAGTCAGCCTGGAGTTGAAATGGCCAAATAACTTTCCAACTTTCCTCAGACTTACTTGAGATCATTGTGCTTTCAATAGTTTTGCATTTGCCCTTCAAAAGCTCTGATTTTCTGATCTCACTTCCATGAATAAGGTCTCGCTGTCGCCTTCGTTGCAGTATATTTCTTGCCAATGTTTCCTCGAAAATATTGTAGCGCACTGTACCATTGGATGTGTAGCTGCTACTGCAAGGTGTTTAACGCAGAAAAAGGCCTGCACCATATCTTTAAGGTTGCAATACAATCGTGCATACATGTACATATACATGCAATAGCAGAAATACTGCTTCCCACTCAGCTAATACACATTATAATACAGGCTATTGGCTGTAACATGTCAATTGCACTCATGACTTGCACCAGTAGTTTTTGCAGTCTTTTGCCAGGGCATGATACAGTCGAAAATGTAAAAACAAATTCCTTGCAGCATCTGAAAAGGGGTTATGATTGTGTGTCTGGTTTTCATTCTTCCATTGTGCCTTTAGTTCTTATCGACCCAAATATTGCATTGTTACAGTTATCTTGGCCTTCAGCATTCTATGGCAAAGTTGGGCATTTTGGAAAATTACCTCTGGCTGATGGTTATAAGAGAAAATTTAAGAAGTCTGTGCACATCATTTAAGTATATGATTTTGACAAAACACTTGAAGTTAATGATGAGCTAAAATATGATCCCATGAATTCATTGGATTTTGTAATGCTTTTGCAGAGCTGATGTTGATGGACTTTTATGCTTTAGGTTCCAGCCAAACTCATTTGCCTTGATGTTAGTTCTATGCAATTATCTCTTTTTCCAGAAATAACCTATATTCACCTTTCCCATTCTTTAACCATTAGTTTCTTTTATCTTGCTTTGTTACTGGCTCCGCTGTGTTGAAGCAAAAGCTCCCCACTTCCAACAAGGGTTATTTGAAAGCTAGAGTGGTTATTGTTTTTATGAAGTTCCAATCTGAGAAAATCTAAAACACAAAACTGAGATCAGTAACACAGGTTATGAAGACAATTCCACACCCCAACATTACAAAATTTAATTGCATCAAAAAGGATGGTGTGATTTTAGGCCAACCGGGTTAAATTCACATCCCATCCAAAGTTGTGGTTCCATCCTCATCCTTGGGTTATTATTTAGATAAAATGATACCTTGTGGGTAAGCACTTCTTATTCTGCATAGTATTAAGGACTGAAAATGTAGTAATTAATCTTACAAAGTTTTAAACACCTTTTTTGTCCAATGTATTTTATTTCGTCCATCTCTGTGAGCCCTTCCATCTTACTGGAAGTATTATTTGCTGCCCTATGGTAAAATGATTAGAGGCAGTAGATTATAGGCCAACACTACCTATTTTTGATTAGAATAAGAAATGAGTCATATTTGAACTTTTTTAGGTTTGGAATTGCTCGAAATCTTTGTGCATTTCATTATATTCAACAACACCCACTCCTCCATCCCCCTCCCCACCAAGGCAATAAATGTGGAGCTGAAAAAGCACAGCATGTCAGACAGCAACTGAGGATCAGGAAATTCAACTTTTCCGGCCGCAACCCTTCGTCAGGACTGAGGACGAGGAGGAGAGCCCATAAATAAACAGAGGGAGGGAGTGGTGCTGGGGGAGGGGAGTTAGATGGATATAGGTGGATGCAGGTAGAGGGTTATTATGGTTGGTCAGTGGGAAGGGTGGAGCAGATAGGTGAGTAGGAAGATGGAGAAGTTGGGGGTGGACAGATTTTGAAGCTGATGATGCAGATAGGGGGTTATTGTGATTGGTTAGTAGGAAGGGTGGACCAGATAGGTGAGTCGGAAGGTGGACAGGTTGAGGGAGGGAAGATTTTGAAACTGGTGAAGTCAATGTTCAGGCCATTGGGCTGTAAGCTGACAAAGCGAAAAATGAGGTGTTGTTCCTCCAGTTTACGTTTGGCCTCGTTCTGACAGTGGAAGAGGCCAAGGATGGACATATCACCAGGGGAGAGAGAGGGGGAATTAAAGTGGATGGCAACCAGAAGGCCAGGTTGTTTGGTGCATGCAGAGCGCAGATGCTCCGCAAACCGGTTCTTGAGTCTGCAGTCTCCCACGTTGGGAGCAACAGATACAGTAGATGAGGTTAGATGAAGTACAGGTGAATCTCTGCCAGATTTGGAAGGATTGTTTGGGGCCTTGGACAGAGGCGAGAAGGGAAGTGCCAGGGTAGGTGCAGGGGAAGGTACCGTGTGTGGTGGAGGGGTTGGTGGGGGAGTGTGGAACTGACAAGGTAGTCGCAGATTGAACAGTCCCTGTGGAAAGTGGACACGGGTGGGGAGGGAAATATCTTTTTGGTGGTAGGGTCTGATTGTAGCTGGCAGAAATGTCAGAGGAAGATGCATTGTATATGGAAGTTGGTGGGGTGGTATGTGAGGACTAAGGGGACTCTATCCTTTTTGTTGTTGGGGGGAGACGATTTGATGGCAGAAGTGCAGAAAACTCCTATTCATTTCTGGGCACCCCTCCCCCTCCTCAGACCTGACGAGGGGTTTCGACCCGAAATGTTGACTTTCCTGATCCTCAGATGCTATCTGACCTGCTGTCCATTTCCAGCTCCACATTTATTGACTCCGGTTTCCAGCATCTGCAGTCCTTACTGTCTCTAACCCACTTCCCCGCACAAATTGCACTCAAATTTTAAGCAATGCATTTCAGTCAAAAATTTTTATGACAAATGTCTGATTCAGAAATGTAAACTCTAGCTACTGTTCAAAAATGGGATAGTGTATCTGCTTTGGATGCTATTGTGAAATAATGCTGGTTAGATTACGGTTCATGTTTCCACTGAAATTAATTTCTATAATCACAATCATAACATGGTCCACGAACTAACATTCAAGCTGCATGGCCTCTTAAGATCTCTTAAAATTTCCGAATACATTAAGAAAATGAAGATTGAAGAGCCTTTCTGATCTATCAAAATCCTACAATTGCAATTACAACCCAGGCCGTAGCCAATGTTCTGGACAGGGGCTGATCTAAACAAATTCGAATCTGAATGAGCAGAAAGATCAATGCAAGCACAACATGAGTAGTATTGCATGTAACTCAGTTACATTTTAAGTCTCGCAACCTTTACAATAGTTCAGTCGGTTTCACTTGTTTTATAAGTTTGAAATGAATTACAAAACCCATGTGGCACACCTTAAGTCCAGAAAGATTGTGGTTCCCCATTGTAGCATCCATTGATTGTCTAAATGATTTTATGGTCGTGGCTCCACTACCCTGCCCAGAAGATCAATCCATGTTCAAATCAGTCCACGAGAAGAGCTTCTGAACTTTAATCTCAAATATGCCTTTTGACTTTTTCCAACCAATGCCCTTAACTCCTACATTCTTTATTTAGTTTGAAATAATGTTCCAGATCCATCTTGACTATGCTGTTACACTACGACCCCATAATGTCACTCGCTTCCTAGATTAACTCCTACTGTATACGTAATATATTGATCATATGTAACAATGACTCTGAATCACAGCTATGCTTATTTAATGCACAGTAAGTCCTTGCTAGTAATTCGGCATTTGCACTCCGGTCTACCTTGGATAATAAAGATCTAGAAATAATACAGAATATCACCACTGAAATGAATGATCCTGATTTGGTAGCTATTTGAAATCCGGTCTCATCATCTGATTTGTATCAAGCATAATCCCATGTCAGCTGTTGTTTTGTGAGTACGTTCACAAAAATGTTAAACATGTAACCTGAAGCAGGAGACTATTGACTTTGTTGGAAGGTTGCAAGTTCACATATCATGCATGACTGATTTACAAATTAATCCAAGGTGGTGCTTACAAGAACAATAATTGGTTGGATTCTAGAACTCAAAACAATTTTCAGAACACAACAAATAGTGACATATAGATGAAATTGGTTTTATAATATCTCACATCTTCTAACACAACAGTTTTGCAGAGGACAATCCATATGCAGCAGCATTATTATAATCTAT